CCAATATGTTTCGCGGGGGGAAGCTATTTAATAATGAAACCGGTAACCAGATTACCACAGCTAGGCGACTAGGTGGTTGCCATGTGGCAGACAAAGTGATCGCAGCTGTGCTTTGGACCACGAAGGACGCACTGGTATGGGTGCGCGGACAGCGCCTAGGGTTTCCAAACTTCCGGATTTGTTCTAACTTTGATACAATTATTATTATTTACCAATCAGACAGACCAAATTATTTAAAGAAAAATATATATGTTGTTTCTAAATCTATACTAATATTATAAAGAGGAAAGATTTGTATTTTTGTATGTATTGAAATAACTCAATAACTACTGGGCTGATTTCAAACATTCTTTCACCATCAAAAAGGTAATTTATCTGTGAGTATGATCTATATTTGTATTTGTTACATTGTTAAAGAAAGACAATTTATAAAATTCTTGTATATTCATCTACAAGAAATCTAAACTTACATGGTCACCTGATTAAAACACATCTTTGATACAATTAAAAAGTGGGCCAACCTCTTGATAAAGAACCAACAGCTCTAAAGAGTAAAAAAAGTGAAAGGCAGACTCACTACTTACTTTTATAAACTTTAAACATTCTCTTTTAAATATTATACATTTAAAACAATATAGCTTTTATGCAACTAAAATTTTTACATTATTTTCACAATATTTTCATTGTTATAGCAATTATTTATTGTAATAAATAAATAAACATAAAACATATAAGGAAGTGTAGGACGATGTATCAATTACTATTGCAAGGAACAACTTAAGTTACTGATGTAAATAGAACTGGACACAAACTATGATATTACAATTATCATTGAATCACCTTTCTGAAGTATCACATGTACGTAACAAATACTACATAAATGCCGCAGATTCTTTTTCATTAGATTAGTAAAAAGAAAACAGCTACACTATTAAAAAGATTATTTAGTTATAAATATTTGTAATATTAAACAAGTTAATAATTACACAAAACTATTCTTTGCAGTATATGAGAAAATTTAAAATGTATTGATTTCACATCCTAAATATGATACAAGGGTGGTATAGTTTCACTCAAACTAACATAATTGCATAAACATTTACTGATTATTTGTGCGGTAACTTTAAAGTGAGTACCAATTTAACTGTAACACTAAACTAAACAACTTTATAAGGGAACATGGATATTTCAACTTATGCAACAAAAAGTGTCACATTAAAAAAGATTCCATAAGATGTGACTGTCTCCATCTTTTCAATTGATATAATATATTGAAAAATCTTACCTGCTGTTGGGAAAGTTTATTCCGTACTAGACAAATGTCTTTCCAAGTGCGCAGGCCCTTCAGCTCACAACCAGGCGACACCACGTCTGTGCAGTTGAGGTCAGCATCCAACGGCATCACAATGAATGGTTACACCACCTGTAACATAAATTATGTTAAGTAAAACGAATCATTAGCTAAATTCATCATGTGCATACAAATGTTACTTTACATAGAAATCATGTAATGTAGTGGTTTGTTATGTAATTGTTATATATTTATGGTTTAGAGAAATTGGATGTAAATGTATTTTATTAGAAAATGTAATGTTGAAAATCAGATTATCATCTTTATAGTCATTAACTGACAGTTTTTATTTCATATAAATTGGCCAAACAAAACCAAAGACTACTGGTATGGTTGGTAAAATCTCATTTATTTTATTCATGTTAACAAAATGCATTAATTTTTAATATTATCTGTTGTGGTTTGTGATAATTTCTAGTAATAAGATTATTTGTAGAAAAAATAAATTATGTGCATTTTAAATTTTTTACTCTTTTAGCTATTCTTGTTGTGTCAATGTTACTATCTTGTATAGCCTCAATAGACAAGACAAAACAAAGATTATAATAAGAGGCAAACAAGAACCCAAAAATATCTTTGTTCAGCCAGTTTCCTTTGGCATCAGATACAGCAATGTACATAAAGGAACAAAAAGCCACTTCAAATATTTACACATTAGTAGCACAATCAAACAATTGCTTTGTTTCCATTTCAGCCACTTTGTATTGAGAACAAAGATGCATTTATCATGTGACCATATCAAACCACTACACATCATATGAATTTATTATATTTTTGAGCCAAAATATAAACTGCATAAAAATAATTAATATCTTGTAAGGGATGTGAAAGCAAATATACAAAAAATATTTTTTTTTAGCTAGACATACCAAGTTTTAGCATATTACACAAGTAACATAGTATACCTTTTTAAAAAAGTGGATGTAAAAGTTCTTCAAACTTTATATCAAGAGTTTTACATTTTCACACTATAAAAAAAGGTTTATACAGACTTCATTTTAATTCTTATGCATCTAACTTGATCAAGATTGGATATTATTAAATTGATTACATTTTACGAAATGGCAAAGTTTCTGCTACTTTTAAATGTAACTTTTCTGCATGTGCTGTTATATTTGTTGTATGTACACCCACAGACAAAATAAAAATCAATTACAGGTACTGCTGCTTAAAGAATCTACAAATTAGGTCAAAAAGTTTTGAAATAAATGAATAATAAGCATGTAACATTTACAAATGTTTTGTTAGTAACACACAATTTAGAACATTTGAATGTTTTAAATAAGTGGGCTTGTGTAATATGTATTTACAGCTGTATGTATGAATATAAATAGATCAATTAGTATAATTATGATCAAAAAGACACTGCAAATAAAATAAAGCACACTGCTGCTTATGTGTTAATGAAATATGTTAGTCTTTTATTAAGCAACTTTATTTTGCAAGTAGTATACAGAGAAATAATGACATAAATGTGGGTAGATGAAATTTATTACTTAAAGAAAAAATGCAAATTTCTAATATGAATTTCATTTGAGAAGTTTGGTAACATTTAAGCCTTTACTATGGAATATAACAATCAGAATTGAGTAAAAAATACTTGAACATACTGGTATGGAATAGTCCTCAAAATCAAAATAGTTTTAAACAAAAATGTTTTTTGTTCAAAAACTAGTTTGAGACTATGTTAAAACAGAGGCAAAGAAACAACTCCTCACATTTAGTTCCTTTGTTAAAATAATAAATTAACTACCAGGAAGTAAAAGAATTTTACAAAGCACCATTTTTGAGGTTATATAAAAACATTTCAAGTATTTAAATATACATGACTATTAGTATTTTTCCACTTAACTACAACGGAACACTAGCAAAAAAAAAGTTACAGAAAGTTTTTAGTCCCACGTTCGTAACAACCAGTAACGTAATGTCTAAATTATTGTGAAACTTAGTGTAAAATGTTAGTATGAGATATTAATTAAAATATATACAACGATTGTTAGCAAGCAAGTGCAACATGGCTCTAATGAGATGATATACGATGATAGTGTCAGGTCTTATGAGCAGAGTTATTAAAGTGTGTAGAACTAGTGACTAATAGCTACAGGACATTTACAACAAATAATGCCAAAATTTACATGAATCGCTCCTTCGGTGCAATCCGTTTGTAGATTGCTGCAGTAATGTTAAATAGAAACAAAGAAAATATTGAAGAACTTCGATAATTGGCATTCACGAAGAAAATGGCGTCATATCACTAGTCACGGAACAAGGTACAATTTCGTCATACGAAAGCACACATCACAAACACAACTAAACACTATCGAAAAACAAAGACATGCTATTAAATGATCTTTTCTTGAGAAATTACTCACTTAGAGTAAGAATTCCAAAGAAAATCATCCAAAAACTTAAAGGACTGATGACAAGGCACTCCACTCACCGTTTGCAAAACCCAGACTACGAATCACGTGACCAGCTAAAGTAGTGTTACCCTCTTCACGTTCCGATTCCGATTTTTTCCGATTGCTCGATTTCATTGCTTGGTCGTGCTCATTAATACGTGCTTGTGGAAAATAAAATAACTGTATAGCCTCCAGTTCACTTATTTATTACGTTTTAGTTGTTGATGGCGGCTACCTACCTGATTTATATTACTCATATGTAAGTGTGTAACTCAAGGGTTCGGTCTATAAGACGATGATAAGATCAGTTCTGTTGAATTGCAGCGACACATCGGCCATCACTCAAAAGAAGGTCATTACCGTTCAAGTTGCTGAAATGAAGATGCTGATTCAGATGTGAGGCGTAACCAACAATCCGCAACGAGTACGTGCGAGACAGCCATGGAGTACGCGACATAGCCGACAAGATGCAGAAGAGTAGGCTGCGTCAGTATGGGCATGTGAGAAGGCCTCCGAATTATATTGGTAATTTGGCACTGCATCTTTCCCTTCCCGGTCAAAGAGGGCAGACCCAAAAAAGTGGAAAGATGTGCTAAGAGACATATGCGAGTGCCAAGTTTCGGATCAGGATGTCTTAGATAGAACGAAGTTGAGGAGATTGAAAAGAAAGCTGACGCCACTACCATATGGGATACGGGCTAGGAAGAGAGACAGAGAGATTAAGTTTATCTAACTACCAAATTATATTCGACTTCGCAGCTTCTAACTAAACATTTTATTTTGAAATTTGATTACTATGAATTGACCCGATGAAATTTTAACTTGAATTTTTCTCAATGACTAGGATATTTTGTAATAAAAGAATTTTCTTTTTAATAAAAGATTCTGTACTTAAAATATTGTAGTTTAGTACTGTTATATATTTCCACAATTGACGTCCTTTAAAATATAGACGGACGGCCATATTAACAATACCTGTAAATTACGGATACATTTAAAACGTATGTGCTACATGGTCGTCTGGTCTCTTACTTTAATATCGCCCTTCAAAATAAATGTTACTAAATGATGTTACTACATACCTGAGAAACACAACACGACGAACCCTCTCTATTTTCTGTATTGTTTAATGATCGATCGTAGAACCAAATTCAATTTAATTTGCGATGTTAAACAGATATCGATTTTTATAATGTTACCCTTATTTTTTAATAAAAATATGCTTATGCACAAAGATTGTTGTCTTGTCAAATGTCACTTTCAATATACGTCATTTTTCTAACCTCTACTTAATCCTAAAGATAAGTTTTAGTGCAAATCCTGACTGAAAAGTGAATTCTACTTATTTCAACAAACATTGAGTTATATTAGACCTCACTAGGCTCAACATGCCGACCATATCAGTGAAACGAGATAGTTTATTCAAAGCTCTTGGACATACTTACAGTAAGTTCTATAATTTAAGTTTATATCAGTATGGATATTTGAAAGTAATCATTTATGTTATTAATAAACTTTATTTATTCCATTTTTTATTTCAGCTGATGAGGAATTTGAACAATTATGCTTTGAATTTGGATTGGAATTAGATGAAGTTGTAAGTATTTTGCCTACTATTATATTACATACAATATTATCCCAATCAACAAAAATAAACTCTTCTTAATACTCTTTAGAGATATAACACTTATCATTATTAATCAATATTAAATCTGATTATGAAATGTAATTTTTTTCAGACAACAGAAAAACAGATGTTGATCAAAGAGCAAGGCGACCAGCAGGCAGCAGCGGATGTCTCTGAAGACATTCTGTACCGTATTGACATCCCTGCCAATAGATATGACTTGTTATGTCTGGAAGGATTAGTCAATGGTATATTAGTCTTCCAAGGAAAGTATGTTCAGCTATTTTTATTTGTATATTCTTACTCAATGTTCACTGTCAATCTCAGAGTAATAAATGGTCACAAAACACTTAATGTCCAACCTTCTATGAGATTTAAGCACTAAGATTCTGCTTAATTAACAATAGTGTAATTCTGAGTATGAAACTAAATTAAAAATTACTAGCCTTTGCCTGTGACTTCATCAATGTGGAATTAAAAACAAATTACAAAGTTTAGTTTAGTAAAATTATTTTTTAAATCCGTCTAGTAGTTTTTAAGTTATTTTAATACATATATAAATACAAATCTTTCCTCTTTATAATATTCTAATAGACAGGCATTATTAGCTTCATATTTGGAATCATTTATATCAATTCTATCAAAATGTATTGTTTGTTAATTTCAGGAAATCTCCACCGCAATATAAGTTCAGGAAATATGAAGACTGCTATTCATTGCATTTAACACCGGCAACAGCACAAATCAGACCATATGCTGTGGCTGCCATCTTACGAGGAATTACATTCACAAAGGAAAGTTATGAAAGCTTCATAGATTTGCAGGTAAACTATGATTTATAGTTATTTTACATGCATATGATGGACCTACATAATGTTTTTTAGTTACATGTAAATACTTTATGTGACAAAATCAATTTAAAAAAAGATTCTTTACAAATATCCTTGGCAACTATGTTATAATTAAAGAGGGATTTTAAAAGACCTCAAACATGCTTATAAATAAGTTTTATTATTAAACTAAATAAATAGCAAACATCATACCAATATTATAAAGAGGAAAGATTTGTATTTTTAGATTTCTTTATGCATTGAAATAACTCAAAAAGACTGGACCAATCATAAAAGTTCTTGCACCATTAAACAGTTATGTTATGACCGAATATAGGAAATATTTTTACCATTTTATTTAATTACACGTGGATGAGGTCACAAGCAACAACCAGTATGTGATAAAAGTAGAGACCAAATGTATATTTTTTCTCTGTCTTATTATTTTATTTAATGATAATATTCTGTATAATTCCAGGATAAATTACATCAAAATATATGTCGTAAGAGAACTCTAGTTGCGATCGGAACCCACGACCTGGACACTATTCAGGGACCTTTCGTGTATGACGCGTTACCACCTAGTGAGATTAAATTCAAAGCACTCAATCAACAGAAAGAAACAACAGCTACGGAACTTATGGAGTTGTATTCTGTAAGTATAAAACTTGAGCCTTTTTAATTATTTTTACATGAATTAATTTTTCAGGGTGATAGAAGCCAGTGACAATATCTGATCCCACACACAAACAGGCATGTTTTGTGTGTAAGTGGAAACATTTAGCGTACAGTTCGATAAGAGTGCTGGTAGCTTGATATTAGTCTTCCTTTCCAAGTCTTATCTTATAGGACAAGGAAGGGAAGGGAAGTCAATTTAAAACGGGATGCATAAGAAAAGATCTTCTTTCTGTATATACCCTTCTATACCGATTGAGAATAGAAAACGCATGTGCAATTGCATATGTCTGGGCAGCGGTAGCTTCGCTATTTCCAATTCGGTTACACTTTAAAAAATGTTGCCAATTTTTGTAAAAACTTATCAGATTTAGAGTGAACAACTAGCTTAAACATTACATTAACCTGAAAAAAACTTGAATGAACTATGTGAATAATAAACATTTGTTGACTAATTTTCTTGTATGCTTAAAATTTCATAAATATTAAAATGTTGTCTATTTACATGTTTTCAGAGTCATCCGCAACTGAAGCAGTACTTAGGCATAATAAAGGATAGTCCTGTCTACCCAATAATCAAAGACAGGAATGGTGTTGTGCTGTCAATGCCACCGATCATCAACAGTGATCATTCCAAGATCACTTTGGACACTAAGAATGTTTTCATTGAATGTACTGCGACGGATCTTACGAAGGTAACAAAAAAATCCTTCTTTTATGCTTTTTAAAAAACACTCAGAAACTAGTGGAAAATTATTTAATTTTGAAAAATGCAAAATAGAAAAAAAAATCATCTTCAATAATTATTTACATCATCAACAATAATTGTAATAATCTTAAAAAAAAGTACAGTTTATTGGATTACTAGCTGTTCCCATGCGACTTTTTTCGCATGAAATTATAATAACATTATTTTTTTGTTTACATTTCACAAATGTCACAAATCAAATGCATAAATGACAACCTTGCTTCCTTAATGTTGGCAGCTTGTATATTATGGTCTCTTTCCCACATGAAGGTGTTTTCCTATTTATTTATTCCCTAAGTTTAATAGCGTGAAAATATATAGCTTAAAGAGTGTCGTAAGTCTAGTGCTTTTTAGTAAAGAAAGTACTATTCAAAAATATGCTGTAATTGCTGACATCCTACGCCACAAAGTAGTTTTTATATTAGTATACAGTATTTAGTATAGAAGTAAAGATAAATCGCATGTACATGTCAAAAAAAAACCAATTGAATTGAAAACTAGTTTAATATGTTAAAATATACATTAAATTAAATGTGAAGCTTTACACTAAGCTAATGCTAAAAATATTGTAAACACTTTTATAGTAATAATCAAATTTTTCGAAAATTTTGATAATAATTTTTCTATTGAATCGATTTCAGGCGATAGTAGTACTGGACACGATAGTGTGCATGTTCTCGGAGCACTGCAGGCCGCAGCACCAGGTACAGCGCTGCAAGGTGTATGCACCAGACGGCTCCTACCGACTCTACCCCGAGCTGCAGTACAGGGAGGAGACCATCAATATCGACACCGCTAACAGATATATCGGCATCAAGTAAGACACTCTTTATATCTATATTAATGTAAACACTGACTGTGCAAACACTCTGGAATTAAAAGTGAAAAGCCTAGTGTTCTTCCAGGCTATCCTCTACATGTATGCAAAATTTGATCGTAATCCATCCAGCTGTTTATGCTACAAACTCTAACAAACATCCATCCATCTAAACTTTCGCATTTATAATATTGGTAAGATTTCAATCACAGCATATTTTTTAAAATAAAATGCTCTAAACTTTAGCTATAGGTTGTTTTCAATTAGGTTTTAAATTACTCGATATTTAATTTAGGGGTGAATTAATTAAAAAAAAATCGTCGTTCTAGAAAGTCAATAGCAAAGATAAAAAGCAAAAATTACAAGTTAATAGCATCAAAGAAAATTGTTGTCCTATAATTTAAACATAGCTTTTGCCCGCGACTCAGTAAACGCGCAATTTAAAACAAAATACCTTGTGTTCTTCCAGGCTGTGTTGTACATCTGTGTTAAATTTCATCGAGATCCGTTAAGCCATTCTGGATATACATTCTAACAATCCATCCATCTAAACTTCCTCATTACGATTTTTGCCTTCCAACGAGAGCTTACACGAGGTTTCTACTGTCTAGTGAGGACGAGTCCAGTTTGGCCAGTCTACTGTCCCGCATGTGCCTGACCACGACAGTGTCGCAGGCCGAGCTGCGCGTGCGCGTGCCGCCCACTCGCCATGACGTCATACACGCCTGCGACTTGTACGAGGATATCGCTATCGCTTACGGGTGAGTAAACTATCACGACTTAGTATCAGCAAAAGGTGACGTAGTTTTATTATAGTGAACACATTTTCGTGGTTCATAATTGTACATTAGCTTAGTATGTATCTGTTATACATTTTACACCGCTTAAACTTTCGTCGAACATAAGAAACGAGTTAAAAACAGTTTAATTCCGATTATTCCCAACCGTCACCCCGCTTTGTCCCCACGCAAGAATAAAATATTTTATCTGTACAACCTTTTAGTTCCACTGTCACCAATGGTGACAGATGGAACCGTTATTAAATAAAATAAGTTCCAGGCGTCCCTTTGTCGCAAAAGGTGGGACGTATGAAACTTTTTATTCTCATCTGTCTCCACATGGGAACAGAGCGAGGTGACGGTTAGGAATAATCCCTCAATCCACGTATTATCCGATATCGGCATCTAATAGTTTTAGACCCATATGGTACTTCGTTTTTATTCACATATGTTTGTTTTTTT